TGGCCCTTGAAGACTTACTAAATAGCAGAAAAGAGAGGGCATGCGACTCTGGAATTCATCGCTCACTATTTCCCTTGTGCCCAAAGGGCTTCCTCAATCATGCCAGACCTGTGGCTAAAGCCTTTACAACTGTGGTATACTTGAAGTCTATTAGAAAGATGTTCTCGCTGGCTAAAATTCCAGAGTGCTCCCCCCTTTCCTTGTCTGTTCTCAGAAGGTGTGACTTCACTGTCATTTTGGATTACACAGCCTCTACAGTTCACACTCTTCTCATTTTAATTCACCCCCATGGTGATCTGAATGAAAATGGCCCCCATAGGCTCACAGAGAGGAGTGGCCTAGTGTGAGTGGGCGTGGCCTTGTTGGAGGAAGTGTGTCACTGGGTGTGGGCTTTGAAGACGGGATCTTTAAGGAAGTAGTTTAGGTAAGAGCTAGCAAGATGGCCCACTGAATACAAATGCATCAGAATCACCTTCTTTAATTTGTTGTCTTAGTTAGGGTTTCTAATGCTGTGAAGAGACACATGACTGTGGCAACTCTTAAAAAGAAAAATATTTCGTTGGGATAGTGTTGGCTGAGTTTTCCTGTGCCAGCAGCCACTCTCGAATAACCACTCAGAGTCTTAATATTAATTATGAATATTATTAATCAATAGCTCAGGCTTCTTACTAACTAGCTCTTAGAACTTAAATTAACCCCTCTTTCTTCTCTAAGTTCTACCATGTGGGCCATGGCTTGTTACTCATTTCATACATGTCCTGCTTCCTCTGTGTCTGACTGAAGACGCCTGACTCCTCACCCTTCTTCCTCCCAGCATCCTCAGTCTGGCTCTCCTGCCTGACTTTATCCTGTTCAGCTACTGGTCAGCCAGCTTCTTCATTAACCAATCACTGTGACATATCAGTATAAAGGAATATTCCACGGTGGCTTATAGTTTCAGAGGTTTAGTCCATTGTCATCATGGCAGGAGATGCAGGCAGACATGGTGCTGGAGAAGGAGCTGAGAGCCCTACATCTTGATCTGCAGGCAGCAGAAGGAGCCTCTGTGTTCTATACTAGGTGTAGCTTGAGCATAGGAGGCCTCTATGCTCACCCCCACAGTGACACCCTTCCTCCAACAAGCCCATACCTACTCGGACAAAGCCATAACTCCTAAGAGTGCCACTCCTTGTAGGGGCCATTTTCTTTTGAACCACCGCATTCCACTCCCTGGCCCCCACAGGTTCTTGCAGCTATATCATAACCCAAATATGAATTCAGTTCCGCTTCAGAAGTCCCCATAGTCTATAGCAATCTCAAACTTACTTAAAATCCTAAAGTTCAAATTCTCTTCTGAGAGTCATACCATTGTAATCCCTGTAAAATCAAAATCAAAAAGCTGATCACATGCTTCCAACATATAATAGCACAGGATATGCATTACATTTCAAAATGCAGGGAGGGGAGCGCAGTGAGAAACACTGAACCACAGCAAGACCAGAACCCAACTGGGCAAACTCCGAACTCTGCTTCTCTGTGTCTGATATCAAAACTCCTTTCAGCTTTGTTGATGTAGGGCCCAGGGCAGCTTTGTACACACCTGCCGTGGCAGGCTCAATAGAGACCAGCCAGAAAGTAGGCCTGAAGTTTCAGTTTACCATTAGACAATACCTGATTCCAGGAAACACCACAAACTGGGACACCCAGGTACCACCCAGGACCATCCGAGGGTGAAAACCTGACATGCCAACCATTGTAGATAGGATCATAAGATATCCCTTAGTCCAGCACACTCCTATCTCCTCTCACTGAGACACCCCTACACAAATGTCAGCCAATCAGGGGTCCTGAACCTTAGAAATTCCCGGCACCAACCTGAGCTCGAGGCTCTCTGACCATGCTAGTGTGTTGGACACATGGAGAGTCCAAGTTGGAACTTGCATAAAGGCTCTTTGCCTTTGCATACAGGATTCGCTCTCCTTGATCTATTTTGGGGGACTGTGAGATCTGGGCATGATAGTTGACTGCAACACACTTCTTTCTCTCAGGCGGGTTCCACTGTTAACAGCTCTCTCTGCAGGTATCCCATGGCTCTGGCATCTCCAACATCTTGGCTTCACCCTCACAGCTTCACACAATGGTCGCTCTAGGCCTCCATGCAGGGACTGTTATATGGTGAGAGATTGGATCTTGGCGGGTGAATCCAAATTACAGCAGGGAGAGACGAGCACACCATGCAGACAAAACTCATATGAGAAGTTTTAGTGGGGGAAGAGAGCGAGAAAGGGAGGGGAAGGGAGAGGAGGGAGAGAAAATGAGATGGGGTGGCCAAAGGCCTGCTTGGCTCTTCAGAGAAACATTGAGAGAAAGAGAGTGGGAGTAGGCGGAGCATGTCTCTTAAAGGGACCTTTTGCACCTGAGTCAGGGTGTGCCTGGATGCTAACAGGGATTCCCCTGACACATGCCTGATCTCAGCAGCTTTCCTTAGTCAAGAAGGAAGCTTCCATAATCCCTTTCTTAAAGCTAGAACTATGGGGCTGAAGCTGCCAAGTTCTGCTTCTTACCGGAGTAACCATAGCCCCCTTAGTACTCGAACAAATCCACACTTCCTGGCAGTACCACTTCCTAGGGGGCCATTTTCCTTCAAACCACATTTGTCACTAGAAGTTCAAGCATCATGCTCATCCCAATGGTTTGTTGGGTTTTTAACACAGGCCTTCTGGGGTGTCTAAAAACGACTTTAAAAATACTGTTTGAAGGCCAGGCGGTGGTGATGCACGCCTTTAATCCGAGCACTCGGGAGGCAGAGGCAGGCGGATCTCTGTGAGTTCGAGACTAAGCCTGGTCTACCTAGTGAGTTCCAGGACAGGCTCCAAAACAATACAGAGAAACCCTGTCTCAACCCCCCCCCAAAAAATATTGTTTAATTTATCAGCTACTCTGAATCCTCTGATTGTATACTTAGCTTTTATAAATTTTATTATCTGAGTCATACCTCAATGTTGCCCTCTCCCCACTAAGGAAAAACTTCAAAAGTAATTCTTTTGTTATTGTCTGGACATTTTTATTTCCCTGGATATCTGATGTTGGGATCATAATAACTGCATATATGTGTGTGTGTGTGTGTGTGTGTGTGTGTGTGTGTGTGTGTGTGTGTGTGTGTGTGTGTACATATATTCGACTGGCAAGTGTTTCTCGTGGAACAGTTGTAATAATCTAAAGCTCCTCCTTTCCTTTTGTCAGGCTAAACAAAAAGTGAGAAAACGTGGTTATTGCGGTGGAGCTGGCATGTCCTGAAGACTGTAGTGGTGAAGTGTTTGCTCCAAAAGGTGAAAACTACAGGGTTATTTTAGTTCAGATGTACCAATCCTGCTTTTTTACTTTACAGCAAATGGAGAATTGAATAAATCTCAAGCCGTAGATATTTCTCTAGTCTATTTTTAAACGTACACTGGCTCTTTCCCAGAAAGAGGAGAAACAAAAATCCATTGGCAGTCAAGCGCTACCTTTTTCCATTGAATTTCCTGAGGAGATTAAAAAAAAAAAGAAAAGAAAACTCTGGAAACCCAGAACAGATGGAGCAGCATGAAGACCACGGCAGAACAGGAAACTTAACAAAGTTCTTAAGAGAAACAAAGCCCTCAAAAAGACCTTGTCTTTAAAAGACTCAGTTGACTGGAGACAAAGTATCGGATGGAGTAAATATTTGCCTTTCCTTGAAGAAACTGGAGATGATAAAAACAGTCACATTAAATTATTCTCCAGGTTGCTCTATCAGGCGTGGATACTAAGGATTTCCAATCTGAATTGGGCAACTCGAGTAAGGCTTAGAGAATGGATAAAAATGTTGCTCATTAACATTTATTCTCTTTTTCCTGGCCATGAAACCATTCTTTAGATATCAAAAAAGTTAAATTTAAACGTCTAAACGCTTGGTGGGGATGGGGAGAGCTAAGCAGATCCCACATTCAGAAGTCACACTGTTCCCAGAATGGCGTGAGACAGCCACCGCACCATGATGTTGCAACAGGTGCAGCATGGGAGCCAGCTACACCACCCCTCAGGGCTCTGTGACTCTCATACTGCACACCTGCTGCCAAGCCATTGAGAGGAACTGTGACCTCAAGCATATGACACTGCAGCCAGTGAAATGAACAAAAATCTGACACCATCAAAACCAACACTGGAAGGGAGTGTCTCAAACTCAACAGGGATCTTCGCCAAGTAGATATAGTTTGTTTGTTGCAGGTTTTTGCTTTTGTTCTTTTCATGTCATAAATGACAAACCCTTCTTGAGTTTCAAAAGAAAAGATAGAGGTAAGCTTCCATTTCATATCAATTAAGGTGTCAGGTTGTGAGGGACCTAAACACCTTCTCAAGAGTAAAACAGAGAGGAAACTTGTCGAGCTAGCCCCCAGTAAGAGGTAAAATACAGCGAGAGCAGAACCTTCCTCGGAGGGAAGCTGGGGGTACATTTCCTTGTGTGAGATGCGATGTGGATAAAAAGGAAGGAAGATAATGTCTTGATGAGGCCAAATGATCCTGTAAAGGGAACTTGGGAGCGTGGGTCTAATGAGACTGTCCTTAGGCCTTAGGTGCTAAGCGTGCAGGCCTTCTGATGCCTAGGGCTATTTACCAGCTTGAAGAAGCTGGCAGAAGTCTCAGGATACTTTCAGAGTCACTTTATTATGACTCTTCATTTATGATTTTCATTATGATTCTCTTTAGATTCCTCATATAGATGTCTACAGCTCACAGAGGGGGGTAGGGGATTAAAAAGTCTAAGTGTGGTGCTGTAATGAGTCCAGAGAGTTTGGAAACCATCGTGTGGGTGACTTTGAATGTTTGGAATTGTGGGATGATTGCAGAGATGATTATCTGAAAGCAATGGTCAGGCCCAGTTGCCAGTGACAGCCTGAAAGTAAATGAGGCTCCAGGGAAACCCGTCACAGACCCCCACAAGCTTCAGAGAGCAGCCTGGTTTAATTACATCAGTCACTAACGGAGTGCAGGTGACTTACTTGTTTTGATCACTTGGCAGGCTTACCTCCTTCAGGGATAGCCTGTGATTCAAGACGCCAGGTCTATTCATGGCATGGATCAGATGTTCAGGACCTCAGAAGGGCTGCAACTGGTCCCTGGCTCTCAAGGCGGTGACCTCTTAAGGGAATTCTTTCTCGTTGTCTAAAGAGGCACGCAGAAGGAAATGGCTCCTCTTTTCTGCCTTTGGGAAAATAGATTATTTACTTATCCACCTTCCTGCTTTTGTTATATTAAACAAGTATTTTATTTTTCTCAGCACCTATGTGCCAGGCACTGGGATAGATGCTCTGGATAAAGCTGTCAAATAGGACCCTCATGGAGTTTACATTCTAATAAGAGTCCAACATAAAAAAAAGTGAAATTTTAAATAAATATCTTAGATTGTAAAATGAACTCTGCAGGAAATACATGGGGCAATGTGGAAGTGAATAAAGGTGGAATAAATATGTAAAAGTTGCCGGGTGGTGGTGGCGCACGCCTTTACTTCCAGCACTCGGGAGGCAGAGGCAGGTGGATCTCTGTGAGTTCGAGGCTGGGCTGGACCGATAGCCTCCAAAACAATACAGAGAAACCCTGTCTTGTAAAAACCAAAAAAAAAAAAAAAAGTCACCTTAGTGGGTGCTCAGGTCTCTCAGAGCCACATCTAGACAAAGGAGAAAGCTGGGTTGGGGAAGGGTGTAAAAATACAGCTGGAGCGAACCCGTGGAGCAGAAACTGAGCCATGCTCTGACATAGCGGCGGTGTGACTGAGTCCAGGGGAGATGTGCTGGGTGAGGGTGGAGGGACAAGACAGTGACCTTAAATTCTGAGAGGACCCAGACGTTACTGGGGGCTTTTAAAGATGAGAGTAAGTCCTGGCTGCAAATGGCTGCCTGAGAGAAAATGACGAGCCTCATTTTAGCAAGATCACTTTTGACTGCTATATGGAAAATGTGTTAGAAAGAGATAAATATGGAAGCAATGAGACCAGTAAGTGATATGAAGTGATAGTATGTTTGTACTATTTATGCCACCCAGTGAGGGGGGTGATAGTGTCTGCTCTGGGAGTTCAGTGGGCATGTCTGGAGGACTTTCAGGTTATTACGTCCTGGAATGGAGGATTAGGGACAGGAGGGTAGTGTCAGAGGCAGGGATAGTTCATTAAAAGATACACTTTCCAAGGGAGGATGTGTGCCAGAGAAGAAAAAGAAGTTTAGAAATTCAACAGTGGCGCGCTGTAAAGAACCGGGCAGTCATTCTCGGGCTTTCTCACACGTGCTCTGTCACATGTAGTTCTACACACAACTTCATGCACTTTGGTTTCATCTGTCACATGTAGTTCTACACACAACTTCATGCACTTAGGTTTCATCTGTCACATGTAGTTCTACACACAACTTCATGCACTTTGGTTTCATTAGTATTAGGTTTCCACCTAGGGGTTTGTATTATAGTACTATAATGAACCCTAGGTCACCTTCGGACACTCTGGAGGGCTCTTGTGCCTATGGCAGTGGCTGTATGTAGTTGGTGGTAGAGGGAGTGTGAGTGTTTCTTCTTTGAAACTACTTTCTTTCCTGCACTAATTTTGTAGCCCTTCTGCAAGGCTCTCTAGACCTTACTACAACCGCTATTCTCCTGCCTCAGTGTGCTGTATTGCCCTCCCCCCCCAGACCGAAGCCCTTCCAATAGTATTCCTACCAATAGGGTAACGTGGAAGTGACCCCAGGACTCCCAAAATTAGGCTGCACAAAGCCGTGCAAACTCTCCTTTTTGTGCTGAGTCGTTGCTGGGTCCTAAGAGCTCCCTCGGGGGAGGGGGTGAGAAGGCATGGCCTCAAACACAGGGAGTCAGATCAAAGGCAAACAGCAGACTCGTTTATCCAACAATGGGGAGAGCCTTGTATACCCTCCTGCCAGCCCTAGACTGCCTTCTGATCCATTGACATTGTATGGTTGCCCCTCATTGGCTAGGCATGATCAAGCCCTCTGACAGACTCCAAGTTGCCTCATCTCACAGCCTTGTAGGTCTTATCTTCCTACACTGAATCCTTGCTTGATAGACCTGAGAAATACATTACTTGAGATTGCTCACCTTGGCAGGAGCCTGGGCTGTGTCATGTGACCATGTGCAAATGTTCCCGTCAATAGCCCCAGCTAAGGTCCAGTTGGCAGCTGGCTTCAACTACTAGATGTATGAGTGAAGTTACCTTCCAGACGATTCCAGCTCCCTCTGTTTAGTCACCCTCATCTCCGAGTCTTCTTCATGAGTTACACTTGGTTAGCAACTCTGTCGAATACCTGACAAGAAGCAACTTAAAGGTGGAAAGGTTTGTCTTGGCTTACAGGCCGTGGTGGAAGGGAAAAGTACGCCAGCAGAAACACGAGGCAGCCAGTCACACTGTGAGCATGCGTGGTGGGAAGCGGAAAACAGGAAGTAGAGTCGGGCTTTAAAAGCTGGAGGCTGACCCTTAGTGACCCGCTTCTCCAGTGAGGCTCCACCACGCCTAAAGGTTCCCCAACCTTCTAAGCACCACCAGCCGGAAGTCAGAGTTCAAACACACACACACCACACACACACACACACACACACACACACCTGTGGGGCGGGTATTTCACTTTCAAACCACAGCTTCTCCCTGGCTGAGGTCTGAGATGTGGAGCCCACATCAGTCAGTCCCATGATGCTCTGTCTGGATTCCGTAACCATTAATATTTGAAATAGGTTGTCACACAGCAGAGCTAACTGGAGCAGTGGGAGAAGAGCGTCTCTCCGGGAAGAAACAAAGAGTCGCCATGAAATTTGAGGACACACTTCTGGAACGAGTCATCCCATGGACTAATTTAGGCCTCTGAGTTTGCAGACATCGAGACTGGAGGCAGCTGCCATAACAGCGTGTGGATTCCCCTTAACTTCACAGGACTGAGAGAGATCCTACCAAGGGCAAGAGGTGGGGGGGGGGGCGCTCTCTCAGGAAGTTTAGTGTTTAAAGATAAAAGAGCAGAGCTAGGAGGGGAGGGGAAGGAAACGGAGGGATCAGGAGAGGGGGCAGGAAGGATACGAAATACCCAATTGAAAGTTAAAAAAAAAAGATGAAGGTAGCCATTGGGTTTGAGAGGACAGAGCACCCATGACCTTGAAAAGAAGAGTGTCAATGGGGTTGGGACAGAAGTTTAACAGGGACTGTGATCACTCAGAGAAGCCGGAGTTGTCTATTCTATTACTTCAGAGGTTGGGTCAGCCCTGCCATAGGCAGATACTAACGGCTGCTCAAGTTATAGTTTAACTGCTTAAAGAACAAAGGAGCCTGGGCTGAGTAGAACACAGATTTGTTGTTGTTTTGTTTTGTGTTTTGGTTTGAGACAGCGTTTTGCTTTGTAACAGCCCTGGCTGTCCTGGAACTCACTCTGTAGACCAGACTGCCTTCGAACTCAAGAGATCCTCCTGTCTCTGCCTCCCGAGTGCTGGGACTAAAGGCGTGCGCCCTCACCGCCCAGCTCCAGCACACCGTTTTGACATCAGACAGAACAGGGTTGAAACAAGTGTGGCCAAATTATTTAAACGTATTGAGTTTCTTTTCTCTGCAAACTGTAGGGTAGTTTAAAGCAGCCCCCCACCTCTCTATTTTCCCCCCAGATTCTGCAGTGAGGCTGGAAACTGACTTACAAAAGGCAGACTTTGCAAATCCAGGATACCCTTGGCTTAGAGAAACTCAGAGATAGTAACTAGAGGGGTGGTTAGAATCAAGGCTCTTTTACAGCATTAACAAAAGGCAGTGAATAGAGAAATAGCAAGGGCTTTTAGGGGTGGCAAGCTGTGGGAGGTAAGTACATGGGGAGCGAGGAGACTAGCGGAAAATAAGGGCTATTTTAGTAAAGTTTGTTAAATTGATTCCTCTTGGTGATTCTGGAGTTACCTTGGGGTTGTCAGGAGAGACAGACTCACAAATGGAAATTTATGTCTTGCTTTTAGGGAAATAGGGAGGAGGGCACAGGGACTTTTTTTTTTTTTTTTTTTTTTTTTTTTGCCTGTGCTGTTTCTCCATTGTTTTTAAGTTAAAATAAGCCATATGTTGGAGTGATTTATTTTGGGATAGAATCTACAAGGATCAGGACATTCACAGTCTGGGGACAGCAGAGTTGGCTAAGTGACTTTTCCTTGCAAAACATGAAGACATGAGTTTGATCCCCCAGAAACCACATTAATAATAATAATAATAATAATAATAATAATAATAATAATAATAAACATGCATGTACCAGCATGCTATAAAGTCAGAGAGTGGGACAGACAAAGAAATGAATGGCAGCACTAGCTATATTCAAGAAATATCTGCAGAGGGGTCCTCAATCCAAGAATCAGAAACTCTTAGGCTGAGGAAGTCATAGAACAGAAGGGAGAAGGATCTGAAATGTGTTCCTTTTGGCCTGAGGAGGTGTGGCTAGGGAAATAAGGCTGGAGATGGACTGAGGAACAATACGGCACTCATAGACATCTCTTGTAGCCAGTATCGCTGTCATGGAGGACCAGTAGAGGGATATGGGCATGATGCAGAAAAATAAGTCTCATCAGTCCTGGCGAATTGTCATTGTTTAAGCAGAATGGGGGAGGGGGTTACAGACCACAGCTAAAGGCATGTTTATAATCCCAAAGCTAGGGAGGTGGAGATGAGAAGATCCTTCAGCCAGCCCAGAAAGACCCTGTCTCAGAGTTCCAGAGAAACCCTGTCTCAAACAAGCAAACAAGGATCAAGATACACAGTTTCTGAGGAACAGCCCCTCAGCACTGCACACACACACACACACACACACACACACACACACACACACACACACACACACACGCACAGAGGGGGGGCTGGGCATGGTGACACGTGACTCTAATTCCAGCATTTGGGACACAGAGGCAGGTGGATCCTTGAGTTCCTGGCCAGCCTGATCTACATAATAAGTTCTAGGACAGTCACAGATACACAGAGAAACCCCGTCTCAAAGCAAACAAACAAGAATAAAAAGAATAAAGATAATAACATAGATTGTTAACAGCACAAAAATGAGACAGAATTTTGGCACAAGTTTAGGCATATAGCAGTTGCTTTATACTCATCTTTAAAGCCCATTTTACTAGTCAGGCATGGTGGAACACCCCTGTAATTCCACAACTTGGAAGGCTAATTCAAGAGGATCATTACTCTAGGCAGTTCTGGGCTATGTAGTGAGAATTTGTTTAAACAAAACAAAATCACACGCTTACAGAGTGGCTACTTGTGTGCCAGCCCTGTGCAGCAGTGACAGCATGCAAGGGTTGGAAGTCCTAGTTCATGGTTTTAAGAAACTCTGCAGGCCAGTGAGGACCTATACCTACAGCAACCACACTAGAGAAGAAGACTGTGGCAAAGAAAAAAGCCCAGACACTGTGCTGAGAAAGGCTTTTTTGGGTAGGATTTTTGTCTGCCACTCAAGGCAGGGCGTCAGTTCCCCAGGTGGACAAACTTAGGACCAATTCTATTCAAAGGCTGGAGACTAAGGATAGCACATCTCAGAACAGTGGGATTACCCGGGTGTAACCTAAGAAGACCCGGTGTGGGAGGGGATGAGGGATAAATCCAGAACATAAGAAGGAATGGGGCTGAAGAGGCTGTTGAGAAAGGATTTTCAATTTTGTCCTGTGCAAGCAGGAGACTGAGTACCTCCTGATAAGGAAGTGACGAAACTAGTCCTGTCCATGCAAATGAATTGGGTGTTTTCTTAGCCTTGTAAAATGCCTTGATCTTTGAAACACACACACACACACACACATACACACACACACACACACACACACACACACACACACACACACACGGTGCTGCGCTCTGTTTTCCAGTCACACTACTACAGTGCCCTTCCTCCCTTCTTGGGAGACACCCATGAACCCACTGGGTAGAAAACACACAGAAACAGTGTCCAGATGAGTTTCCCATGGTCGTATGTGGCCGAGGATAACTATGAATGTGCCCCAACAGAAAACATTAAACTTACTTAAAACATTGTGATTTATTTTACAATTTACTCATTAACTTATTTTTGTAATTCAGTTGCATGGTGTTTGAGCATGATGAACTTTGTGGGTAACAATGTCATGTTGAAATGTCAAAGTTGTGCACCCCTAAAAGGAATGACGCTAGCTTTTTCTACACAGGGCAAAGAAAAATTTAGCCTTCCATTCTGTCTATAGAAAATAATGTTAATCTCATATAAGTAGTGATCAAACAAAAACAAAAGAGTGGGCTAGAGAGATGGTTTGGTGGCTAAGAGCACTTACTGAACAGGCACAGGGCCTGAATTTGGATCCTAACACCCATGTGATATGCTGAGTGTGACCACATGTGTGACCAAGCCCTGTGTGAGACAGGCAGGGGGAGTCTTCTCTGGGACTTCCTGGGGCCACCCCAGCACCAGCGTCAGTGAGAGACCCTGTCCCAAAAGAATGGCAGCGTGATAGAGTAGGCCATCTGGTGTCTCTCCTCTGGCCTCCACATGCACAAGCTCACATGCATGCATACCCCTCCCTAACATGCATGCATGCATGCCCCATACTTACATGCATGCATACCATATACCTACACACATGTGCCCCATACTCACACACATGCATACTACATACTCAAATGCACACATAACTCACTCTCACACACACCTACTCCACCCTCACACACAATGCATACCTCACTCACACACATGCACACATGCACACCCCACACTCATATACATGCATACCCTTTACTCACCCTCATGCTTACCCCACACTCACACACATGTATATTCCACACTCACACACATGCACACTCCACACTCACACATATGTGTACTCCACACTCACACACATGCACACCCCACACTCACACACATGCATACTCACACACATACATGTACACTCCACACTCACACACATGCATACTCCACACTCACACTCACACACATGCCCACCCCACACACACAAGTATTCCACATTCATACAAAGCAGGAAAGAAGTCAGTAGAGATGCAACTGGTAGTTACATGGTAATGGCAGTTAGATTGTGATGTTTTTAAACATAAGTTTTATAAGTTTGAGATCTGATATGCCTGATTTCTCCTCATGCTGAATTGCTTTTGTACCTACCTTTGCACTGGCAATTCTGTATCCTCTTTCTTAAAGAGCATTCTCAGAATCTAGTCTGTTTTAAATACCACAAACTCCAGATAAGCTACTGAGTGCTGCGCTCTCTTTTATTGGTTTCCCCAAATCTGCCTGCAACTTTGCAAACAGTCATTTTATTAAAACTGCCCCAATTTCACAGTTTCAGCGTGCCATCTGTTGCCAGGACCCTGACGGATGCAGCAGTATTCATATTAGTCATAATCTTTGTTCATCGCTTACACAACACAGTCTTTTGTATGTACAAGGAAATCCGTAATAATACGAAGGATATGTGATACATATGTA